CTGTGACTGGTCGGGCGGTGGACACAGTAAGGGAGGGGTAAGACCAGTAGAGGACGAGAGACCAAGAACCTGCTGAAGCAGTGGAACGAAGTACGGTCGCGGCCGCACAGTGCCTCCAGAACCAGCACCGACAGCACTAGCACCCCCAGGGACAGCACCTCCAGCTCCAGGGTCTCCAGCTCCAACTCCAGCAACACCACCAGCTCCAGCTCCAGTACCTCCGGCTCCAACGCCTGCAGCACCTCCAGCTCCAGCAGCTCCAGTACCTCCAGCAGCTCCAGTTCCAGCTCCTCCAGCTCCAACGCCTGCAGCACCTCCAGCTCCAGCAGCTCCAGTACCTCCAGTACGAGCACCTCCGGGACCAGCAGCTCCAGTACCTCCAGCACCTGCAGCTCCAGCTCCTCCAGCTCCAACGCCTGTAGCAACTCTAGCTCCAGCAGCTCCAGTACCTCCAGTACGAGCACCTCCGGGACCAGCGGCTCCAGCACCTCCAGCACCTCCAGGACCAGCAGCTCCAGGGCCTACAGCTACAGGGCCTCCAGCGGAAGGCCCCCCAGCTCCAAAAGCGGCACGCTGAAGACTCCAGCGCCGAGCAAACCATTCGCGCAGCTGCGGTGGAGAGAGAGGCTCCCGCTGTGACGAGGCACCCGGAGAACCGCCAGTACCTCCAGCACCTCCAGGACCACCAGCTCCAACACCTCCAGCACCTCCAGGACCAGCAGCTCCAGTGCCCCCAGCTCCAGGGCCTCCAGCGGAAGGCCCCCCAACTCCAGCAGCGGCACGCTGAAGACTCCAGCGCCGAGCAAACCACTCGCGCAGCTGCGGTGGAGAGATAGTCTCCCGCCATGACGAGGCACCCGAAGAACCTCCAGCAGACAAAGTACCTCCAGGCGCAGCACGCTCAGGCTCAGCACCCCCAAGCTCAGCACCCCCAGGCTCCGCACGCTCAGGCTCAGCACCCCCAGGCTCCGCACCCTCAGACTCAGCAACCCCAGGCTCAGCACCCCCAAGCTCCGCACGCTCAGGCTCAGCACCCCCTGACGCAGCACCCCTAGCAGCACCACCCCCAGCAGTACTTGAGTCGACAACGACCTCGACAGGCTCGACAGGGTCTACCTGAGACACACCTGAGGAAGCAGGACCCTGAGGGGGGAGGGGGTCTACCGGAGGAGGACCTGGTGCGAGGAAGAGCGGCGAGGGGGGGAGAGGGGCAGTGCGGTAGGGGAAGAGACGGTAAAAGGGAACCGACTCGTCAAACGTGACGTCCTGAGAGGGCAGGACACGGCGCGAGGTGGGGTGGTAAAACTGCCAGCCAGGCGCGTCAGGGGGAAATCCAAGGAAGACACAGGGAATGGCGCGGGAGGAGAGCCTGTCCGCGGACGTATCGCGGACAAAGGCACGAGAGCCCCAGACCCGGAACACCGATGCATCGCCAACCTCCCCCGTCCAACGCAGTGTCGGCGAGGTCTCCGGCAAGGAGACACGGGGCCAGAGGTTGAGCTGATGCGCAGCGTACCGGACCGCAAACGGCCATAGAAATTGGGGGGCAGCCGCATGGATCATGGAGGTACGAGCGACCTCCATGACTAAGCCAATGCGGCGCTCAGCAACCCCATTCTGCTGCGGAGAGGCCGGAAGCGTGAACAACTGGCAAATGCCCTCCCCACGACAAAAGTCCTGCAAGAGGTCGGAGGAAAACTCACCACCTCTGTCAGAGTGCAGACGTAGGACAGGAAGGTCCTCACGAAACCGCTCGCGGAGCTGGAGACGGACAGCGCGGATCCAAGGGATCAAAACATCAGGGACCTCCCCCTTTCTGCGCAAGGGGAAGACCGTGGTGTAACGCGTGTAGTCGTCAACAACCAGCAGAAAGTACCGCTCGCGACCCTGTCCACGGACGCGGGCTGGGCCCCACACGTCCATGTGGAGAGTCTTCAGGGGAGCAGTCGTCAGGGGGAAACGAGGAGGAGTGAGGAGCGGCGCGCTGCCGCCCCTCGACACAGGGAAGGCAGGGAGGGGCAGGCGAGGGTGGGAGGGGAGGCAGAGACATGGGAAGACCAGAGACAAGGAGACGGGAGTGCATGCCACGGAGGCGCTGCACTGAGGGGTGACCAAGGCGGTGGTGCCAAAGGAGCGTCCGGTGCGACAGGGCACGACACGAGCAGGGGGCCGCTAGCTGACCTGACGCAGACGCAGACGCAGCTACCTGGGGAGGCTCAGTAGTCAGTGTGTACAGACTCGACCCAGGCCGACGGGTGAACGTGGCCAGGTGACGGCCAGTCCGGGAGCACGTACAGGTCGCCACACGCTGGCCGCCAGGGTTGAAGGTATCAACCCATTCATCTTGAAGGACGGCGTTGCTCACCAAGTTTGTAGAGAACGAGGGGAGGTGAAGACCTGACAGTGAGCCAGACGGAACCGCCGGACACGGGAGAACAGTGGAGGAACGTGCAAGAACTGGGCCCCCAGAGGGGTCAGCCAGAGAGACTGCAACAGGTGCAAGGAGTGGTGTGACTGTGGTACTGTCGTGAAAGAGACAGCGGGAAGCACCTGAGTCAAGCGTGAAGGTGTGCAAGGCCGCAGCAGGCGCAGTACCAGAGAGAGCAGACTCACTAGCACCTAGAGCAGCAGACTCACTAGCACCTAGAGCAGCTGCCTCTATACTTGGGTCGGGCGGCACACACAGGTAACAGTCACCCTCAGCACTAACAGTCAATGCATACATGGCAGTGAGGATAGCATCATAGTCAAGAGCAAAGATATCCACTCTCTGCCTAAGCAGCTCAGCCACGTCGCCAAACTCTGCACGCCAGGTGTCGCTCAGACAGGAGAAGCAGCGCGACTGTGTGTGACCAAGTGTCCCGCAAGTCTGACCAGCCCGATCACCTGTGCGAATGACGTACGGGCAGCGAGCAGTACTCCGAGATGCCCCACGCTGAGCGAACCACTCACGAAGCTGCTAGGGCGTAAGGGTCTCGCGCGGACGCCGCTGCAGCTGCATCTGGCCATCGCCAGAAGCTCCCCACTGAACAGCTCCACGGCGACTGCCACTACGGCCGCCGCCACTACTCCAACTAGCGAACCACTCACGAAGCTGCTAGGGCGTAAGGGTCTTGCGCGGACGCCGCTGGAGCTGCATATGGCCACCGCCAGGAACTCCCCACCGAACAGCTCCACCGAGACTGCCACTACGGCCGCCGCCACCACTCCCACTGCCGCCACCACCGCCGCCACCACTCCCAACACTACCTCGAAGAGACGTCATAGCGGGTACCAGGGTAGGTCGGGGCGGTGCACGGTCAGAGAAGGGCGGCGCGCGGCCAGAGTAGGGCGGCACGCTGCAATTAGGGCGGCACGCGGGCAGGGGAGGGCGCGCGGGCAGGCAAGGGCAGCGCGCGGGCTGCAGAGGGCGGCGCGCGGGCAGGCAGGGGCGGCGCGCGGACAGGCAGGGGCGGGGCGGACGGGCGACGCGGCGGACTGGGGCAGCCCGCACGGGCGACGCGACGGGCAGAGGCAGGGCGGACGGGCGACGCGACGGGCTGGGGCAGCCCGCACGAGCGACGCGACGGGCAGAGGGAGGGCGGACGGGCTGGGGCAGCCTGCACGAGCAACGCAACGGGCAGCAGGGGCGCACGGGCGGTGCGACGCGACTGGCAGCAGGGGCGCGCGACGCGACGGGCAGCAGGGGCGCACGGAGCGACGGGCAGCAGGGGCGCGCGACGCGACGGGCAGCAGGGGCGCGCGACGCGACGGGCAGGGCGTGCGCAGGGCGGCGCGACGCGGGGCAGGGCAGGGCGTGCACGGGCAGCGCAACGCAGGGCAGGGCGGCGCGACGCGGGGCAGGGCAGGGCGTGCGCGGGCAGCGCGACGCAGGGCAGGGCGTGCGCGGGGCGGCGCAACGCAGGGCAGGGCAGAGCGCTCGCTAGGCGGCGCAACGCAGGGCAGGGCAGAGCGCTCGCTAGGCAGCGCAACGCAGGGCAGGGCAAGGCAGCGCGGCAGCCAGCAAGGCGGCGCGCGGGCAGGGTAACGCGACTGGTGGGGCAGCGCGACGAACACGGTAGGGCGCTACGGGCAGGGTAACGCACTACGGGCAGGGAACGATTCGGTGGGCCCTAACAAAAAAAAACCGGTCCTAGGTCAGGACCTGCTCTGAAACCATGTCAGAATCCCAACCACTAGACCATTGGGATAAAAGGGCTTGTTAAGTAGCGGGTCAGTGCGCCCATAACCCCCCAGGACGACGAGCCTGTAACCCTTCCCTAGGATCAATCGGGGATCTCCAGTGGACCTCTGACACCCCCCCGCACTGGGATGATCGAAGTGCACACACTGGGATTCGAGACCCAAGACCATGTCAGAATAATGAACGAGAATGGATTGAACTAGCAGCATGCAGGAGTACAAGTAGCAAACCCTAATTGGGTTGTACCCCATATGGGCTACCCCACTACAGCCTACACAACATGCAGCATATAAGTTTGACAGTAACAGCCTGTTTTGTCGCATAACACCCCTTTCATGAGGGTTAGGGTTGGTAAGGTTGGTTGGGAGTGGGTTGGCCCTGCAAACCAAATGTACAGTAAAAACAACGTGGGGTGATCCCTTCGCCAAACCACGGTTGGAGACACACCTGCGCGACGAAACCACAGGGTGCAACAACAGAGTGTCGCACTCTCCCGCCTGCACACCAAGCATTTTACAGGGGTCGGAAGTATGAGACGGACAACTCTACCATACCCACAAGGAGCGGGGTTCCCACACCATTTCAAGTGTTTTATTTACTCTTTACGATCACATTTCCTGGAGTACAACTAGCACAGATAAGACCTCATAGGTCAATCACGAAGAACCTCATTATGCCCCCAGCTCCACTAAGACGCACTCCCCAACACTTCGTCTACATTCCGCACCGTGATTCCCCAGCCCGGACACGTCACACTCTAGAAAGCCAGCAAGGCCAATCCGCCTTTCTCCACTGCCGTCGCGGAGCTGCCAGTATCCTACTTGCCTCGCCATCTTCCACTGCCTTTCGTAGGTGAGCTTGACGGATATGCGTGATAATTCCAGACAGGGACGAGCATGACGGAATGAGAGGCGAGATGATGGTTGATGGCGGAATGAGAGGCGAGATGATGGTAGATGGCGGAATGAGAGGCGAGATGATGTGAGAGGGGGGAAGGAGGTGCTGTGGGAGGGGGAATTGAGGTGCTGTGAGAGGGGGAATGGAGTTGATGCGAGAGGGGGAAAGGAGGTGCTGTTTTGGGTTTGAAGGGAGGTGCTGTGAGAGGGGGAAGGGAGGTGCTGTGAGAGGGGGAAGGGAGGTACTGTGAGAGGGGGGAGGGAGTTTTTGTGAGAGGGGGAAAGGAGGTGCAGTTTTGGGTTTGAAGGGAGGTGCTGTGAGAGGGGGAAGGGAGTTGCTGTGAGAGGGGTAAAGGACGTGCTGTCAGATTGTGAAGGGAGGTGCTGAGAGAGGGGGAAGGGAGTTGATGTGAGAGGGGGAAAGGAGGTGCTGCGAGGGTTTGAAGGGAGGTGCTGTGAGAGGGGGAATGGAGGTGCTATGAGAGGGGGAATGGAGTTGATGTGAGAGGGGGAAAGATAAGTCAGTGGGATTGGGAACGTGCGTGCTCTGGGAGGGGGAAGAGAGGGTAGGTCAGTGGGGAAAGATAAGTGCTTTCAGAGGGGGAAGAGAGGTGAGGTCAGTGGGGGAAATGGAGGTGCGTGGAGAGGGGAAAGAAGATTCTGGCAAGTGGTTTAGGAGGTGATGTGAGAGTGGTAAGGGGGGTGCGGTCAGAGGGGCAAGATAAGTGCTTGGGAAGGGGAAGGGATTTGAGGTGCACGAGTGGGGGAAGGGAGGTCAGGGAATACGTTATTTTAAACACAAAGGGGGAAATTGGCAGTAGTATGTCCCGGACATGACAGTACAACCGAAGCATCCTCATAGAACCCATCAACACTAAACAGAGGGGCTGAAATGGAGGTGCAGGCTGGGGCAATGCAACGATGTGAGATGGGGAAGAGCGGTGCTTAGAGAGGGGGAAGGGAGGTAATGTCATAGTGGGAAGGGAGGTGCTGTAAGAGGGTGAAAGGAGGAGAGGACAGACGGTGAAGGTAGGTAGGGGGAGGGGGAAAGGAACGTGAGTTTGGAGGAGGTTCACGGATAGGGTTTAGGGAGGGAGTTGCTGGCAGGGCGGAAATATATGATGTGAGATAAGGAAGAGAGGTGCTTAGGGAGGGGAAAGGGAGGTGAGGTCAGAGGTGGCTGGGAGGTGAGGTGAGAGGGGGAAGGGAGGCGGGAAGGGTGGTGCTTAGTGGGGGGGAATGGAGATGCTGGCAGGGGAAAAGGGGTGATGTGAGAGGGGGGATCAGAGGTGCTTAGGGAGGGGGGTATGGGGTGAGATCAGAGGATTTAGGGTGGTGCGGTGAGAGGACGGAAGGGAGGTGAGGTGAGAGGTTTTAGGGTGGTGCTGTGATAAGGGGAAGGGAGGTGATGGGGTTTAGGGTGGTGCGGTGAGAGGGGGAAGGGAGGTGAGGTGAGAGGGTTTAGGGAGGTGATGGCTGAGGGGGGAAGGGAGGTGCTGAGAGAGGGGGAAGGGTTTTGCTGGCCGGGAGGAAATAGGCAGTGTCGGAGGGGGGAAGGCCGGTGAGGGGGAACAGAGTCGGGAAGGGAGGTGCTGGCAGGAGGGAAGGCAACGAGGTGAGAGGGGGAAGAGAGGTGCTTAGGTAGGGGGAAGGGAGGTAAGGTCATAGTGGGAATGGAGCTGCACTTAGAGGGGGAAGGGGTGTGCTGAAAGAGGGGGAAGGGAAGGTGATTAGCGATTGCACCGGGTGTGAACTGCGGGTGAAGCATACGCACGAATGCTCCCCATCCTTCCTGTCTCCGTACCCACCTCGTCAACCCCCTTTCCCTTTCCCGCGCCTGCACCCGTTCCCACACCGCGAATTGCCCCATTCTTATTTTCCACTGCTCCCTCTCATTCCCCCCTTTGCTTCCCATCATTTTCCCCTCTGCTCCCTTTCATTCCCCCCTTTGCTTCCCATAATTTTCCCCTCTGCACCCTCTCATTCCCCCCTTTGCTTCCCATCATTTTCCCCTCTGCTCCCTCTCATTCCCCCCTTTGCTTCCCATCATTTTCCCCTCTGCTCCCTCTCATTCCCCCCTTTGCTTCCCATCATTTTCCCTTTGAGAGGCTGGAGCTGCGAGAAGGGGGAGGTAGGTGCGCAGGTAGGGGGAATATACGTGCTTATGGAGGGGAGAGGGAGGTGAGGTGAGGGGGAAGGGAAGTGAGGTTATAGGGGAAGTATAAGTGCTTCGAGAGGGGGAAGGGAGGGCAGGGTGAGTGGTGGAAGATAGGTGAGGGAAGGGGGAAGGGAGGTAGGGTCAGAGGGGGGATGGAAGGTGAGGGGAATGGAGATGCTGGCAGGGGAAAAGGGGTGATGTGAGAGGGGGGATCAGAGGTGCTTAGGGGGGAAGGAAGGTGCCTTGACGCTTGGAAGGAGAGGACAGAGAAGGGAAGGAGGAAAGGACAGAGGGGGGTTAGGAGGAGAGGAAAACGGGGGGAGTGAAGGTGCTCTGAGAGGGGGAAGGAGGGGAGGGGGGAAGAAGGTGCTCTGATAGGGGGGAGGAGGAGAGTACAAAGAGGGGAAGGGTGGTGAGGTAATAGGGGTGTTGTAGGTTAGGTACATCTAATTTGTGTGATTTGTGTTCAGAGAGATGGCTTTTAACATACGCGCATTTTTTTTATTGTGCTTTGCAACCCGTCCACAACGCCATCAGGCCATAAACCACAATGCCATCACTATAAACCATAAGCTTATAAGTGCAGCAACTATAAGTGCTTTGCAACCCGTCCACATTTGCTCTCATCACGATGTTTATGATAGGTCATGATGGCGCAAAGGTGAATGAACAAGTGAAGTTACAATTGGATGCACAGCGATTAAGCTTCTACATGAGCCAACGGTGAAAAAAGGCAGAGGTGGAGCAACTACTCAAGAGGGAGCCGCTTTCATTGGGTGGCTTCGTCTTTGAGTTTGATACATACCATCTCAACAATGAGGGTGCACTTGTGCCGGATAAGGGATGTGGCCATGGAGGTGACCGTCGCGGACCGGCGATTATGGGATGATTGGTTACATTTGGTTGCACATATTTTGGAGGCTCTTATGTATGAGTGCCTTCATCTCCACGTCTTTAGAGCACTCTAAAAAAACGTTAAAAAGGAGTGCTGTGGGCGTTGGGAAAAGACGAAAAAATGCACTGTTCATTCGAGTCGACCGAAAAAAGTGCTACCAAAAAATAGCATTTTTGACTGATTTTCAGCGTAAATTTGCAAGCGAACTCGATTTTTTCAGCCTACCCCATAACCAATCTAGGGGCCTGGCCTGTACCCTATCATCCCATTTCCAGCCCGTTTCACAACCGACCTGTATAGTTGCGACGTGGTTGCGGGGCCGCCACGTAAGCAATCACATCACCTGATGCGCTTCGACCCCTGACCTTCAATCTCTGTTTTTTTAGACGACGAGACAACCTGTTCCATCAGCTGGATCTTTAATGTGCATAAGGGCGCGGGCCATCTGCGGACGACGTCCGAACGGAACGACGAACGGACGACGTGGTGACACTTTTTTGTTCTGTTTTTGGAAGCGGACGACGAATGGACGATCTCGGCTTTTGTAGGATCGATATTTTTTCCCCCTTGTATTCTCGATCCTATCACCGTGGGCTCGAGATCGATCCGCGATTGTTACTACCTACCAATTCTGCCCCAATCGTGCGATCGGTGTGCCCGATCGGTTTTTCACGGCGATCTCGCGATCGATCGAGGGAGGGGACGCGCCCTTAGTCTCGACCTGACAATTGCGGGAGAAGTTCCACACCGTTGCGGTATGCATGCGACGTCGCGTGCACCTTCACGAAAGCCATACGACAAATAACGAATTGCATTACCAGCCAACGGTTCGGACGGTCGATGGTTCGAACCATGAAATGGCAAAATGGTGCCGCGCCCTAAGTTGATTCAACTCCAAGCCAGCCCATGAGTTTTCTACTCTCCGCGCAAGGGAATTGCACGGTGGGCTCGAGCATCGTGTGTGGTATGGAAGAGACGAGCTGTGCATGTGTTTGGGCCGATCTTACTGGGACCTGTATAGTAGCGGTGTTGTTGTCGGGTTTAGGGCCGCCACGTAAGTATAACACATCACCTGACCCGCTTCGACCCCTGACTTTTGTATATATATATATATATATATATATTTTGCCCTTTTTTACGGCGACCATGCCAGTGCCATGGATGATAGTTATCCAACCATCTCCCGAGGATTTTATACTGCCGAGATTTACCAGGTGTTTTTTAATCCATTATTTTCAACCACTACAGCTATGTTAACTAAATGGTGTTGGCGCCGCAGCGTTAGCGAGCGTACGTGGCTATGGAACGAGCGGAGCGCGCTGGAGCTCCGCTGGGCCTCCTCCCGGCCTCGCTACCACTGAGTCGCTCCCCGCTTCCAGGCCTTGCTCGGGACGCGCTCGTAGGCCTGGTTCGGATAGACTTGGCCGTCCTCATGCACATAAAGAGGGCGGCGCTAACACAAGCAGTCATGAGCTGACACCTTATCGCTGACATTACCTTGCTCGTGAACTCCAGTGTTCATCCTTTCCGCCAACATCATCCCAAAATTGCGTTCGAGGGGGTTGGTGTACCCAGGTTCGCAGTAGGCACTGAGTACCCTTGTTCACGAGGAGTCCTCGTCGGACGTCCTGTGGAGGTCGGATTTCTCCCGACTGCTCAGACTGCTCCTACTTTCAAGCCTACTTCTGAACCTGCCGGGCCTTTCCGCGGCTTGTGGGTATTAAGCTCAATGGCGCCTGTCAAGTGGAGCCCCGCTGCTGCTGCTGCTACTCCTGGCGGGTAAGCGCCGAGCCCTGCGTTATAAGACCCGCTCATAGCCGCATCATTGACCCGTGTCTCCCGCTCACATTGGCAAGAAGGCATTGGGCTCGCATTGCTGTGAGTCGCATGGTGCCTTTTTCCACCTACCTGTGTCCCGTGGGGCTGGATATCGCGCTCTTCCTCTTGCTAGGATCCGAGCTGCTTTATGGAGCTGCTGGGATGGGCGCTGTGCTGTGCAGTGCTGCGCGTATTGTGCTGCGCTGCGCTGTGCTGTGCTGTACTTTGCTGCGCTGTGATTTGCTGTGATGTGTTGCTGTGTGCGGTTGTGCTGGTGTGTTGTGTGCTGCATGCATCTCATCTACTGTGCAGGCTCTTCGTTGGACTTTTCAAGCACAACTCGCCCTGCAGTCACCGTAAGTGCATTGTCGCCGTCATTTTCCTTTTACCCTTTCGTTTCCCTTTCAATGTCAGTTCCCCCTTCTGTACTCTTTGTTTTGCATTTAAGGCCCCTTCTCCTCTCTTATTTCTTTTGCTTCCCTTTCAAGGTTCCCTTCCGCTTTCTTCACCCTTTCGCTTCTCTTCCCCTTCCTTCACCCTTACGTTTCCTTTTCAGTGTCCCTTTCCATCGTTCGCTTCCTTCTCTTGCCCTTCCCGTCTTTCATTATTTCCCCTTTTAGTTACTGTTTCCCTTTGTTCACCCTTTGGTCTTCCTTCCAATAACACTTCTGGTGCTGCATTTCCCCACTCTTCAGTTGTTGTTCCGCGTTACACGAAACGTTGCCACCACAGCAGTGGTTGGCGGCAGCAAGAGCTGGACTGAAGGGTTCCGACTTCCTCAAAGTCACCCTTTCTCCTTCCCCACGTGTCATGCAACATGCTGCAACCGTTGTGATTGGCGGCAAGAAGGGCTGGCCTTGCGTCAAGTCTTGGACGAAACCAAGTTTTCATTATAATGACGTCGTAGGTACGTATTTCCATGTATCGGAGATGCGTTGTGTTGGGGAGACGTTACAATGAGTCAGTACGCATTGAAGTTCGGTTATCTCGTTACTTATCTTGATAACCTCACGCCCCGTCTAGTATCGAATCGCTTCAAAGGGATTTTTTGCCAGACAAGGTTCAACCTGCTTGGCAGCATGTAGCAGAGCAGCCATGCTCTCTATCTCTGTTTCTTTCTTGGAGCATGTCTGACTCCCGTTGCTGCCTCGCTTCCTTCCCGTGTGCAGTCTTCAAGTGGTCGGGCAGCAGCTTGTTCGGCCGCAAGCATAGCGTGGCTGTGGCCACTGACAGTACTGCATTAAAGGCGTGCAATACCAAGTCCACCTCGTAAGTGATTGTGAAGCCTACGAGCGCGGCGAACAAGTCGTTCAAACTTGGCGCGATGACTTATTATTTCTTCAGCACTATTGGGAAGGACTGTGCTAAAAAGGGCATGAAGCTGGAGTGCGCCGTGCCACCACCACTCCCTTCTGAGGAAGCTTGCAGTGTTTGGACCATCTTTGGGCGTGCGGAACACTTGGGCTTGCAAAACTCTCTTTTTAGCACCGTCATTTAACACTCACAGCACTTGTATGGTACCGGTATCAAGGACTCAGCTCATTGTGCTTCATCAAACTTAGGTCAAACGGTGTCTGCATTGTGCTTGGAGTTCGCCTAGTCATTCATGTCAAATGTTTCATATATGTTTGTAAGATTTCTAGCCTACAGTGGGGTTCACTGTAGGGGGTACATGATTCTCTCGACACTTGACTTGTACCCCTTTCTCCTACTACTCAATCATTCCGCTAACTTTGAGATGGTATCGCGCTAGGTTAGTTCTAAGCTTCCTACCTCCGTTCTGCGCCCTCCCCTACCTCCGTAGCGCGCCCTCCCCCTCCCAGCCGCCCCAGCCAGGGCTTCGCGCGCCCCTGCTAGAGAAGCGCGCGCCTCTGCCAGAGAAGCGCGCGCCCCAGCCAGATCCGCGTGCGCCCCTCCCCTGGCCAGCGCGCGCCCTTCGCCTAGCCCGCGCGCGCACCCTTGCCTGACCAGCGCGCACGCCAGCTAGACCAGCGCGCGCGCCAGCCAGACCAGGGCGCACTCCAGCTAGACCAGCGCGCGCGCCAGCCAGACTGGGGCGCCCGCCAGCCTGACCAGCACGCACGCCAGCTAGACCAGCGCGCGCGCCCCTTGCTAGACCGTGCGCACGCCACTGCAGTAGCCAGAGGCGCGTGCCCCTCCCTAGCGCGCCTAGGCCCTCCATAGTGCCTTATCGGGCTTCCCGCCGTAGGTTTCCGTGTTTTCTACTGTTCCTACTCTTAATGCTCCGCTCTACCGCGGCTGGAGGCCGCTCCTCCTCTTTCTAGTGTTCTTCTAGCGTTTCATCCTTCTCTCACGCTCCGGTTAGACTTTAGAGTTGGTCTTTGCTCTGCTTTCTCCTCGCTTTGTGTCCTCCTCGGTTTGACCGCTGTTCTTAGCCTAGCCTTCTCCACGCTCCGGTCGTTTCCTACTGGCTCTCCTAGCTCCACTCGCTCCTAGCTTAGCTCGCTCCTCGCTCAGTTCGTCCATAGCTCAGCGCTCCTAGCTCCACCCGCTCCTAGCTTCGCTCGCTCCTCGCTCGTGCCGCCCCTAGCAGTTACTATGGCTTCCTCCTGGATTTTACGTTTCGACGCGGAGGGCCGTCCCATCGACTTTAGCATGTGGCTCCGCCAGGCCCAACGTCACCTTACGAGCCAGCGCCAGGACGGTGCCACCCTGTACGCCCACACGTCCGGCGCCCTCCCGGCCCCTCCGCGCCCCAGCCCACTCCCTACTGAGCCCATTCCCACTCCCGCGGCACAGGCGGACTACGACCGGCTGTTCTTAGCGCGTGACGTCTGGGTCTCTCATGACGCCGCAGCCGCCCTCGCATTGATGGACCTGCTCCCACCGACCGAGGCCGTCCACTTCTCAGAGGTCGAAACTGCGAAGGGCTGTTATGATGCTATCGTTGCGCGTTATTCCACCCCTTCCTCTGACTCCCTCAGCCGCCTCCTCATGCCTTTTGTGTTTCCCGACCTTGGGTCGTTTGCGACTGTCTTCGACCTTGCCACTCAGCTGCGTTCCCTCGACACTAGCTACCGTGCAGCCTGCACTGAGGCTCAGCTTCTCCTTGCCCCCCCTCCTATGTGGCTCACCGTGCACTGGTTAGTCACTCGCCTCCCTGGCCGCCTCTCCTCTGCCCGTGACGTGCTTCTTCAGAAGCACCCCAGTGAGCTTACGATCGATCTTCTTGAGAGCACTCTCTCGAAGATCGAAAGTAACCTCCTCTCTGTTGCCGCTGCCACTGACGCAGTAGCTCCCCGTCTCTTTGAGTGGTGTGCTGTCCTTCAGCTTCCCACCTTCACTGCTATTCGTGCCACTGCTGCGGTGTCTGTCTCTGAGAAGACTGCAGCTGTTTCTGCCGCTGGTTGGCAGAAACGGGGCAAGGGTGGCAAGAAAGGGGGGAAGGGGGGTGGTGGCGGTGGGGGTGGCGGAGGTGGAGGTGGGAGTGGCAGTGGTGGCGGCGGAGGCGGTACTGGTGCGCCTGGAGGAGGAGACCTTGGAGGCGGTCCTGGACAGGCGGGCCCGCCAGGTGGAGTTGTTGCCGCAAGCGGTGGTCCGGGAGCCCAGCAGCAACAGTCACAGCAGCAGCAGCCACAGCAGGGACAGCATCCGCAGCAGGGACAGCAGTAGCGGCAGGTGCCGTAGCAGGTTCAGCCGTGGGGTCCCCCGCAGTAGTGGGGTCCACAGCAGCACTGGGCCCCCCCCGCAGCAGTGGGGACCTGGAAGACTTGGGAGCACTGGCCACAGCGGCAGCTCTGCCAGCTGGGGCCCCCGCCCCCCTGGGCGCGACTCCGGCCCCTGCGACTACTAGATCCTCACGGGACCGGGTAGTCCTTGTTTATGCGGGCGTGGTGACCACTCTGCAGCGCGGTGCTTCCGCCGCCTCGACGACCTTTACCATGCGCGTCACGGTCACGCGGGCCGCACCCCGCGCTGGGCACAGCTGCTAGCCCGTAAGATTCCTGTATTTGAACTGTCTATGGATGAGGCTCGTCAGTATGCTTTGTATGCTGATGTTGACTATAATGTTGATGTCTTTGTTTGCTCGTGTGTTCCTAGACTAGGATCCTTGCGTGTTGCTAGTGTAGACTTTTGTCTTTTTAGTCTAGGTGCTTGTGTTGCTGCACTAGGTGCTTGTGTAGCTACTAGACCAGGTGCACCTCCGGCTGAGGCGTCCCTGTCCTTCACGCTGGACTCTGGCGCGTCCCAGTGCTTCTTCCGCGACCACACGACTCTCATACCACTCCTTTCTCCTGTTCCGGTAGCTCTTGCTGATCCTACCTCAGGACCAGCCGTTGCACGCAGCTCCACCACCCTCCCGTGCCCTGTGGTCCTCTATGGTGTCGTTCGAGGTCTCCACATCCCCTCGTTCACTCGGAACTTTGTGGGTGTTGGATACCTCCAGGATAGAGAGATCACAGTTACATTTCTGTGGCACGGGAGGACGGCGGTCTGTACGGACGCTGCCACTGGCGTCGTTCTTGCCATGTAAACCAGGGAGCCCTGCTCTGGTCTCTACGTTCTGCAGACCGAGCACTCCAAGGTAGCTGCTTCCCCTCAGGTTGCTGTGTCCGGTCAGGTTGCTGTGTCCGGTCAGGTTACTGTGTCCGGTCAGGTTGCTGCGTCTTGCTCCTGTCGGTCCCTCTCCCACATGACATTGTTGTGGCACCACCGTCTAGGTCACCCGTCCCTCCCACGCCTCCGTAGCATGGCCAGCCAGCGGGTCTTTGAGTCGCTCCCTCGCTCGCCTGCGCCGCCGTGCACTCCTTGCGTCGAGGGTCGGTTGCGCGCCACTCCCCACTCCTCCTCCCTTCGTCCGGCCACCGCTCCCTTCCAGACCCTCCACTTGGACGTCTGGGGCCCAGCCCCTCGTCTTGGACCCAGGCGGGAGCGCTACTTCTTCGTGTTCATGGATGACTACTCCAGGTACACCACGGTGTTTCCTCTCGCGAAGAAGTCCAAGGTGACTTCTACGCTGATCCGGTGGCTCCTGACCACTGAGGGCATTCGTGGTAGTCGTGTCAGTTGTCTTCACTCCGACCGTGGGGGTGAGTTCCGCTCCGACGTACTTGCCGGGTTCTGTGGCGAGCAGGGCATCACAGAGTCTTGGACACTTCCGAAGTCCACACAGCAGAATGGGGTTGCTGAGCGCCGCATTGGTTTGGTCATGGAGATCGCCCGCACCTCCATGATCCATGCCCATGCGCCCCATTTTCTGTAGCCCTACGCGGTTCGCTACGCCGCCCACCAGCTGGACCTCTGGCCTCGTGCCTCACGACCAGGGTTTTCACCGACCAGTCTTTGGACTGGGTCCCCTGGTGTTGCGTCGAAGTTTCACGTCTGGGGCCGCCTTGCGCTTGTCCGCGACACCTCTGCGGATAAGCTCTCGGCTCGCGCCATCCCATGTGTCTTCCTTGGTTTCCCGGTGGACGCTCTTGACTTTGCGTTCTACCACCCGCCCCTCCACCGTTTCCTCGACTCCCATGACATCCGGTTTGATGAGTCAGTGTCCTACTACGCTCGCTACCCCTGTCGAGGTCGCCTGGTCCCCACTCCTCCCCTTTTCCTCGCACCCTCTCCTCCTCCTGCTCCCGCTCCTCCGGTACCCCCACACCCCCCTGGTCTTGCCCCGTCAGGTGTGTCTCACGCTACCCCTCTACCATCGGTCGCGCGTCAGGTAGCGTCTCCCTCCCCGCAGTCCTCCTCACAGTCCCCTCAGCAGCCTTCGGCGCTTCCGCGGCAGGTTACTGTGGAATCAGGCGGTGTTGGAGCGGGAGGTGCTGCCACTGGAGGTACTCGATCTGGGGGTGCTCGTTCGAGGGGTGCTGGAGCTGGAGGTGCTGGCACTGGAAGTGCTAGTTCTGGGGGTGCTGGAGCTGGAGGTGCTGGCACTGGTGTTGCGAG